CACTCTCGAGAACTTTCGTTCGAGCGACCGAGATAGATGGCTCGCCCGCGGATCGGCAGCCGCACGAGGGGCCTACCAGTGTACGACGAAACGCCGAATTCCAGTTCGCCGAATTACATATATTTAGAATGCTCGAAACGCCGAATGCTAAAAACGCCGAGGAGACGTTTTATTTCCCCGTCTTAAATGGTACGTAGTAACCTACTTTCCAAAGGCATAGTCTTCACATGTCATGAACTATGAGTTAAAAAAAAAAAGTTGCAAGTGGGGGAAGATCAAGGAAATGAATTGCCATTCTGCAAATTTGCACATTGTGGGCGATGGCCCTTCCATATGACTCACGGGCAACTTCGCTTCCAGTGCAAGACCAGGTTGAACGATCGGGGTTTCTTCGCGTTTCTTTCCGTCGGTGATCTCACGCCGACCGACCGACCAATCACCGCGCAAGAAAAGAGGCGAGGAAACAGGTCTCGCCATCGGTGCATGATGGAATCTCGGTCTGATAAGAATCTTCCCGTCTGACGGTCTCGACTTCGCATTCACCTACCCGTCTGGGTTTTCGGCATTTTCTTTCGAGACGGTGAATTCCACGTTCGGCAAACTGAAAGATTCGACATTTAGGCAGTTCAACATTTTTATCCTACACGGGCAGCCCACTGTGATGTGGGCCCACACTCACCCGCTCGAAGCCAACGTGGGCCCAACGTGGTGTGCAGGATTCCCATTTTTTGGAATTTTGATCAATTATTTCGAGAGAAAAAAAAATGGCAAGTGCAAAATCCCACGTGCAAGAAATCCTATAAACTCGAAATTTGAAAGTAACAGCACAAGTCGTACATTCACGGAAATATCTTTGAGGGAGCTTTCAATCGGCACAACTTTCGAGTTAGTGTCTCCTTCGAAACAGGAATTGTATGCCGTCTAAGTGAGGGTAAAAAAAAAGAGCTAAATTTTGCCATGTTCATTGTTACTGGCCAGTATGCAAAAGCGTATTGCGTCGAATAGACGAGTCGTTAATGAGCCGAGCGTCTCGAGACCCGTTTGGATTTTCCCCACCGCGCGTGAATCCCCGCAAGCACCACCCCCGCCGGGATCGGCACGCGGAGGAAGAACCGGGGAAAACGCGTGCCTTCCGGTGGCTTTTCCGAAGACGAAGGCGATTGAAGACGAGGGCGTGTGACGCCGGACGACCGAGCCCGACGGCTTCCATGGTCTCCACGCCCACACATTCACTCCGTCTCTCCTTCCCAGAATGCCGTGAGCAAGAACCAGAGGAGAGAGAGAGAGGGAGGTGAGAGAAGGGGTGAGAGAAGAGAGAGGAAGGCGATGCAGAAGGCCAGGGTTCGTGGAAGACGGCCGTGAAGATCTCCCCTGCAGACGCGCTTCGCGATACCGGATTTCCTCTCGATGACGTCACCGCCCTCGCGTGCAACCATTTCACCGAGCAACGAAGCCCGCAAATCCGATCGAGTCCTCGATCATCGCCATCGGCTGCAATCGCGACGAGGACGCAATTTTTCAGGCTGGCATCTACGAGACGAAACGCCACTGCGAATATCCGAATTTATTCTAGTTATAGTTAGCATAGTTAGTATAGTTACAGTTATAGCATAAAGCATTCCGCCGACAATCGTGGCTTTCGGTTCGTCGACGAACGAGAAGCAGAAACGGGGGATTGAATCAAATTTAAAAATGATTCCCAGAAATAACTAGCGGGTGCGGCAGGATAAATGGCGGGATCAGGATCCTGTCGATAAGGATAATCCTCGGATTATCCTTACCCATGATGATCCTCGTTTCAGAAGAGCATCTTCGACGCCTTCCCTCTTCTTGTTCACGTCTCACCTAATGTCGGACGAGTGCACTACTGGAGTGCATTATTTTTTTGCATGAATGAATTTGAGTGAATTTTTTGCACTAATGGAAACAGCGGAAGCTAATGGAAGCGGGGTGAGGGGCATTTCGCACGACGTGACTCACTGAGATGAGCTCACTGAGATGACCTCACTGAGATGAGAAGAAGCTGGCTCCGAATGGGGTCATTTTAACGACTTGGGTAGAAAATTTCGATAATAGTATCATGCGGAGTTGATTATATTAGTCGAAAAAAATATTATGGTCAACATAGAATTTGATTTTGGCTTTCGTGTTTTGATAACAATAAATTGCTGATAACATTAAGCCATAACAATAAGCGGCACCCACTGTATATCCCCCGTTTTTCGTCGCTTCCAACTTTTTTTCCCGGCGATTCTCCGTACAAAATTTTGCATTCCAGATAATGAACTCGTTCCTGTGGGCAGAATAATGTCGACACGTGCGAATAGTGTCGATCCCAACCCCTTGGACTATTCGCGCGGAATGATGCGACGGATTGAAGCGAATTCGGCCGGAAGTCGCGTTAGAAAGTTGTTCTGCTTGGTCTGCTTGGTCTGCTCGCTTAACCGTTCTTAGCCGTTCTCGTGTGTCGAAAATTGGTGGTGATTATTTACGTTAATAAAATCATGTGGTTTTGTAGAGAATCGAATGGATAATCTGTATTTAAAAAAAGTTCAAGCCTAAGCGACGAAAAATGGACGATATATTAACGAAATACCGAAAAAGAAATTCGATTTTGTAACTTGTCTGCTTTCTTCTTTTTTTTTTCTCACTGTTCCTGCTTCAGATCTGAGACTTTGTTCCATGAGAAATCCTCGTTTCTCAGCCTCCCCAGTTCCAATTCCTATTCTGAAAAGACAATGGATTGTGAGGGCATGCTCTTCATTAATTTTGATGAAACTCTTTATTCCTCATTATGAATCTATCATTCATCATTATTAATTATTATCGTTATTATGCAGTTGTTACAGACAATTATCGTTTTAAAAATTATTTGGTGAGAGTCTTGCCTGTTCACAATGAGGAATCTCTGATGCATCTCTCGAAACCCCCCCAAAAAAAACCACCAAGCGAAACGAGCATGGAATCATCATAATCATTTATACCCGGCGATAAACCGAGTTCCAGGATCCGATCGTCCTCGAAGCGACCCTGACTCACCGCTCTCACCAATTTCGCTAAGCAGAGCGAGGAAAGACGAGGTAGCTTCAAAATACCTCCTGGTCGCCATCTGGGTCGCCATCGGGAGGTCTCCCGTTACTACCTCCTTCCCCCTCCCCCCCCCTTCCCCCCCTCCCCCCTCCTTCCCCCCCTCCCCCCTCCTTCCCCCCCTCCCCCCTCCTTCCCCCCGCAGGAGTGAGATGGGATTCCATACCCGGTGATTTCAACGTGGCGAAGGCAACAGAAGGAGGTAATCGGATATCCCTTCGAAGGGATGCGGATGGCACGCAGCAGTCGTTCGTGGAAGGTGACGCAACGACGCTCGTGTCGAACCTCAGCTGCATGGTGAGACGAATCATCTGGCATTATTTTTCCTGCTTAGCTGGTAGCTCTTCGGAGACGTCAGACGATCCTCGCTGCATCCCAAGCCGGTCACGACTCGCAACTAAGTACCGAAGTACTGTTTCGTAGGTGTCGGGAAGTGTCCCACCGCGAAACTTCATCGGCGTGCATTCGATTCCGCTAAACTCGCAACTCATTCCTTCTGTGATTGGCTTTCCTTCAATTTCGGGCTTCGTCGATGCGTCTCGAGAGGCGACGAGACGCGTTTTTAACTGCATCTCAATCAAATTCCCACTTGGCTTGAAAAAAAAGTAAAAAGCGAAATATCCCGAGTATGGAGCCAGGGTCGGACTGGCCCACCAGGAAATTTCCCGGGGGGGGGGGGGGGGGGCCCG